CATAATTTCACTTAATGGAGTTGAGGAAACAATAATAACATGATATCAAGTCCTGTAAAACTTTTTCAGACATTTTGCATTTTAAATCACATTGCAGTGTTAAAATGTGTGTAAAGAACTTGAACAATTAGGGTCACGTTTAAAGAAATCACAATATAATGAGAAATAAATAGTTGTGCCGATTTTTTTTTCTGAGCTTTAAATATTGTTTACTGCATCACTTTACATATTCATTAAGTATTTTTGATTTGAAAAGTTTTAATATCATAATATTTAGAAAATGCATTAAAGTTATCCCGTATGACATTTTGACTGGTGTCGTCACATATTTCTCAGTTAAACCGCTTAAAATACATTGTTTAAAATTGAGATTTTAGTAATAAGTAAAAAACATCCCCATAAAGATAATAACTACTTTGATGTGCAGTTTTAACCTATTTTAATTTTTTATCAGTTGAAAACCTTATTTGTCACTGGCCCCTATATATCTTTCTATCTATCTACCTATCTATTGGTTTACATATCTATCGTATCTATCTGTCTATCTGTCGGTCTATCTATCTATCGGTCTGTCTATCTATTTATCTAAAAGCACCAAATTTGAACATATTGCTGTGTTTTTTTAAAAGGATAATATTGCAGAGATAGGAGCTTACATGACGTCTGCACTGGCAGTGACAGTTGGCAAAGTTTCTTGTCTGCTAGAGGATTCCTCTGGTGTGTCAGGGCACAATTCTGGCCTTTAGTATGCATCATTGCTTCTTCCGTTTCACTGGTGAGGTAGGCTGGCTACGGAGAACCAGCTTGAATACATGAGGACAGATATGCGCTTGTTGTGTAACTCCTGATATGGTTCCTTTTAAGGCTGGGGTTCTCTCCCTGATCTGGGATGTTCCATTCAGGGGAGGTCCTGTAATCTTAGGTTCGCTTCGCCTTCTCTCTTAGGAAGTGTGCTGTAAAATGTGATATGTGGTACAAAATCAATTCATGTCACTCTCGAGATTTGCAGTCTCACTGTTTATGAATGGTATATAACCAGTTGGATTCCTAAACTGTATTACATAAACAATCTTTTTACATATGGTTTACCGTGAGAGAGAAACAATGCTCACAAATCCTCCAAGAATGACTGTTGTACCAGTCACTTTTTCATCTGTGAATATCCACCCACACTTTTCATTTCTCCAGCGACAAATGCAGATATCCTTACGCAACAATTGGCCCGCAGTAAATTTGACACTTGCGCTTAAAAGAGCAACTGTTACATGTCATCCACCCCTCCCACCAAAACTGAATATGATATAGATGACAAGTTATAATCTTTCATAACCAGTGCTAAGCATTCTGTTAATTGAAGAAAATAATTCTTAGTTACATAAATAAATACATAAGATTAGTTAATTGAAGGATATTTGCAGCTGGCACACCTCGTTGCCTATGACGCAAATGTAAAGCAAACATGACAAAAAATAAGCTTTTAATCAATCAAATAGAGTGGCCACTTTAAGTCCAAAGTGTTACAGGGCCTGAAGGGAGATTATCATGGGTTGGGCTGTTTCTTTTCTCTGTGTGGTTTCATGGAGAATTAGCATTTTGTACACCATGACCAGGTAGACAAGACGCCTGTGTACTGTACTTATGCAACAATGAGCTATGACATCTGGAAATGTAACAAAATGGAAATGAAAGCAAACCTGAGATAAGATACAAGTTCAAACTGATCATAATAAGCTCTGCAGCAAATGTGTAAAAATGATGTGTTCACTTAAACTACATTGTTATGTTACGTAAAAGTCCCTCAGTCAGCAAGAATGTTTTTACATCAAATATAAGCTTACATAACGTGATTCCAGTAATTAAACAGTCTCATGAGACTTCTAGATAAGAACTTGTGGATCTTATCAAACATTAACAGGAGCAAGCCCTACAATAGTTAAGAATGGCCTATAACACCAAAACTAAAAGACAAACGGCATTGTCAGTCAGATTTTTTTTTTATTAATTAATATTTTTATTCAGCAAGGATGCATTAAATTGATCAAAAGTGACAGTAAAAACATTTACAATGTTACAAAATATTTCCATTTTTAAATATTTGCTGTTTTATCATCTGTTTTCAACATTGATAATATTAAGAAATGTTTCTTGAGCACCAAATCAGCATATTAGAATAATTTCTGAAGGATCATGTGACACTGAAGACTGGAGGAATGATGCTAAAAATTAAGCTTTGCTTTCAATGGAATAAATTATACTTTAAAATATATTAAAATAAAAAACAGCTTATTTTAAATTGTAATTGTATTTCACAATATTACTGTTTTTACTGTATTTTGGATCGAATTAATGCAGACTTAGTAAGTGTATAAGAGACTTCTTTAAAAAAAAATCTAAACTTTTGAAAGGTAATCCACTTTAATCCACACGTAATTCACGCAAAAATGTGTATCTTTTTTTTTTTTTTTTTTTTTTTTTACAAAATACCAAACTAATTGGCATGTGGAAATAGTCCAGTTTCCAAAATAATTTTAGCGGACGTGTGACCCTCAAATTGTTCCAAACCTGTATGAATTTCTTTCTTTCAGCCAACTATTCGCTTGCAGTGTTATGCAATGTACGTCATAACTCTGGTGTTTCTATCCTATTCACAAAGCCTTATGCCTCACCCAAGCTCTAATGAAGTATGGATAAAATGTACTCATGATCATCATGTCAAACCCTGCTAAGTCACATTGAGATGTCAGTCTTGTGACATTCTCCAGGATTTGTCATTCAAGTGAGGGAGCTGTATGCTCTTTTATAGGCCTTTTGCCTTCAAGAATGGCCTTATTTATACTTTCTCTTTATTATCAGCCGCTTGTAATGACAATCAATCCACCAATCAAGTGACTGATGTGGTCTGATGCATTCCACACTACAACACATTTTTCGGTGCTGTATTGAGCCCTTTGTGTTTATTCTTTTGATGATTTGAGTAAGTCATTGTCAGAACCTCAACCTACCATGAAAAGCACAATTACACCAGAATGCGGGTTGTAGAATTCAATATGACCTTAAGCTGTGATGGGCGACGTGTTAAGAATGCTCTAAGAACTGCATTACAAACAAAAAAAGACTACTTGTGAATCCTTTATAAACAGTTTTGGGATTTAGATGCACAATACTTGGGTGTGAAACTGGGAACAGCCTATCTGGTTGTTTGCAAAAAACAAAACAAAAAAAACTTTTCTTAAGCTAAAGGTATTTGTCTACATGCAGAATGGATACACCCTGAAGTGTGCTTCACGGATTGCTATTACAGAACCATGTCCACCCAGCAGGGCCTTCGGTGACGACGAGGTGAATTTAAAGTATTTCCTTGCTTTCACTCTATTTTAATGTTCGGTGACCCTTCTAAATCATTCCAGCACTGGATTTTCACCAACAATGCTTTCCTACCTCAAGGCAAGCTATTTTTAGGCCAATGACGCAGGTGTCTCATATCACCACCCGCTCAGAACACAGATGAGGGCTCCCTCTTCCGTGCTGCCTGGCGACGGCGGATGCTGTTGCCAGGGGAACTGAAATTGACATCACACACACATACTGTCAGGACCTCCCCTATTGAAATGGTATGTAGTTGAGCTCTCTGATCACATACACATTAATCTATTATGACAAACCCCCGCTTCTGGTGCCCCCAAGACTGATCAACAGCTTGCGAGCTGAGTCATCCAGACATGCCACGCTGCAGAGAATCGTGCGTAGCAGCCTTTCTTTTCATCCGCTGTGTAGCCAAATTCAATCTGAACAGATGTTTGGATGTTTTCTTAGGTAGTCCACACCAACATACTGTTAACGTTATACAGTAATCATTATTATGTAATTGGGAATTAAGACATATTTAACCATGTATTCTTCATTCACTAATACAGAGGAGACTCATAAATTCAGATTTATGACAGTCCCAGTTGTAATAAGCTGTGTATTTGCCGTTCCTGATGTATTTTTTTTTAGATGTTTGAGTCTGATTTGGTTCCCTAAACATCCTTTTGTTCAGATGCTTCCTCCTGATTTATGGGGTTTATTTTTTCTCTTTTCTTTCTCATTTGGGACCAGTGAAGAAAAATCCTGTTCTATCTTGTACAATCTTTGCTTAGTTATGCCACTGGAACATGTCAAATTTATTTTATTGTGGAAAAAAAGCTAATTCAATTATTTGGCTCATATCATTAAAAATAACAATTGTAAATGTTTCTATAATAAAATGTAAAACATATATAGTTAATAATGGCCTAAAGACATGCATGGTAAGATTTTTCTGAGGTAAGAAATCTCGGGGGATCTTATTACATATTATATCATTATGAAATATTTTCAGTCTTGTAGATTTGATCGATGCTAGTAGTAATATTTTATTAGCAATATAAAATGTACCACACACACACACACACAGAGAGAGAGAGAGAGAGTAGTGTAAAAAAGTGATGTCCGGTGGAGATATTTGAAGTTCAATCAAACCTCCAGAATATTTTATATATTTTTTTAAATATGAGGGAAGAACAAAACACTGGTTAAAGCTGATTAATGTAATTATCTGACAAAATTACTCCGCACATTACAGCTACAGATTTTATTTTACTATGCAAAATAAAAGCTCACATGCTGAGGGAAAAAAAAAAACATATATTGACTACAACATAATATAAATTTACCAATTTTGCATCATATAAATTTACCAAGCAAGACTAGGTTCAAATTCACAGATACAGATAACTTACAAGTAAATATATATGTATTCTTATTTTGCTGTTTTGTTTCTGGTTCATCTCTTTAAAAGTGAGTCATTGACTATTACAAAGCTCATACGCACTGATGTGATAACCGAGGCCGGTGGGTGTGTCACAGCTGCACGCTTCCGCCAATCCAATCCAAAAGTGTCATGACATTATTCATGAGCAGATATTCAACCAATAATACGCACGTATGCAAATCTAATAGGTATAAAGACCATTCAGATGGTGCGTTTCTAGCATAACTGCAATACTTACAGCGACTCTTGTTTGTGCGTGGATTGGGAAAAGTGAATCACTAACGCAGCTGGATAACCTCACGAACCGTCTCGATTTATAAATAGCCGATAACGAGAGCAACTGTGAAATAACTGAGCTTTTCACAGACGATTTTGCGTTTGAGCTTCATCTGTGTGGAAAGACAGCGACATCTGTGCGGGAGTAGAGCAGAAGTTTTTGCCTTTTTAAAGCTAGTTGTTCTTTCCATCGACATGTCCTCCGGTGATGTGTCAGAGCAGTGTCGGCGGTTTTGCGTGTTGTCTTGGGAGCAGGTGCAACGTTTGGACTCTATTCTTGGCGAGACGGTTCCAGTTCACGGACGTGGAAACTTCCCGACGCTTTCGGTGCAACCGCGACAGATTGTTCAGGTTATTATGAAAGCGCATCTCTCTGAATACTTTTTCTGCACATTACTATAGCCTAATTTATTTAGGCCTATACATTTTTACGGGTCTATATAACATTTCACTTTTATAATGATACTCCCTTTTGGTTAGATGTTTTAAAATGTATTATTTAAAACTAGCACGCTATTGTTTTATGTTACACTTACATATTTTTTTAATTACTAGCAAGTAATCAAAAGTGAGTAGTATTGCTTATTTCTATTTCACTGGTTATTCTTCATTACATACTGGTACTTAGTATTCCAGTAGTGATTTAATATCTATTCAGTCACTAGGACGTACTCTTGCTACTAGTCACTTTACCAATGTTACCAGTCAATATCAGCTATTCATTTCGATCTAGTGTGTTGCAGACATACCTTCCAGTTTTAGGCTACTACTAACTTTTCATTTACTAATAGTATTTATTTCTTAGTTGTAAACTAAGTTATGGTAGTAACTAATGTATATTCTAGTTGTCCCAATACTAAATGAATATAGCCTACACTAGGTCATATTAGACACTAGTGTGTATTTCAAATGTTACTAACATTTAAATCCGATTTGTAAGATGTTTAGTTGAACTAGGCTAAAAGTAAAAAGCAACTAGTTATAACTAGGATAGATACTAGTATATCTCATAAATACTAGTAAAGCTGGAATAGATAATACTACGGGGACTACTAGAACCTAATGAAGAGTTACTAGTACAATTTTATTAACTACTAATCGAAAGTGAATGGTTCATATCTGAATCACAGATGCACACAGAATTCAGTGGCAAAAATGTGCAGTGGAATAGGTATTATTCACCATACTGATATAGTTTAGAAGCCAAGTAATATGTGGAAGTATAATAAAAAAATACAAGTGCAATTGTAAAATATGCTAGTCACTATTGGATTACTTGTAGAAAAAAGTTCTAGTCTAAGAAAAATAGATACTAGTTAATTTTAAGGAATAAGTTAAAGGAAAAAAAAAAACTCTGGCATGTCACTGCATGGCCAACTATTGGTGTAATGTCTCAACCCCCCAAGGATAAGCAAAACATTCTTAACCTTTGGCCCTCCTGCAGATACAGAAAACTGTGCACTTAGCAAATTTAAGCGACTTGTTAATGACTTGGACATTCTCACGAATCCTACACTGAGTGTGACTCATAACCGACCCTAATCCCATGCGGTGTAACACTGCTTGAGCTAGTCCAGTGATAACCAGCACCAATGCCCCCCTTTTTAATGAAAAGAATTCTTGTTCTCATACACAAGCAGTGGTGGTTTGCATCTACACATGTAAGCAGATATTGATCTTTTCTCCAGATCACTTCCTGTAGTATGGTTTCATCCAACAAGAGAGGGTTTGTTTTAAGTCCTTTAGGGAGAATGTGCTTGCTGTTGAACAGAAAATGTGTATACGTTTCAGCATTTCATGTATATGATCCCATATGAAAGTAGTTCATCTGACATCTTTTATTTCAGTGTTCTCAAAAATGCATTTATACAGTGACATTTCTTATATCTTAGAAACTGGCCTAAGATTGGCCCATATTGGTTCTAATTAAAAGAAGATTGAAACTAACTATGAACTGTGGAATCTGTCAGTTTCCCCTCCTTTGATCCAGTTTTGCTCCTCATGGAGTGGACCGTGACAAATGGTCAAGCTTTTGACAATCTCCGTTACATAATATTACATCTGCCTGGTTTTGAACGGATAGTAATGTCCTGTCAATAAAACCCAACTAGGAAGCCCATTATATTTAATGGAAAACCTGTAAAAAAACAACTTTGATGTTTTATTGCAGCCTCCACGTCATTGCAAAATTGACAAAAGATGGCCGCTCGTTCACTGTTAGTCGTTTTCTCTAACCCTAATGATTTGCCACGGCACCATGCCATTACATGGACTTTGTGGCTGTTTTCATTATCATCATAACCATGTCATGATTGCACATTTGCACCTTGTGCTTTGGGCTGTGATGTACAGTTGAACCATAAAATGTAGGTTTTGAATGCAATTGTGAACCTGACTTGGCATCATCTTAATATCATAATATTCACATGCACTGCAAGGCGATCCGGTTAAACCCTCGATCCATTGGTGGAAACTTAAAGAACCTTTGAGTTTGTTTGCTTTGGCAATATTTTTTGAAACACCATTGACGGATGTTCATATTGACAATAGTCCATTATGAAATAAAGTAAACCGACTTTTTGTTTAAATAAATAACACCCTTTGTGGTGTAATAAATTGCACTCGGCCATATTGCAATTTGCTTGTTGATTAATTGTGCTTCAAATATGTATTACTGTAAGTAATATGTTCTCAGCATGTGTGCTTGGTTACACTGCATTCACTTGGTCAATTGCTGCAATCTGACCTATTGTGTAAAAATAGAAGGCTAATGATTTGATTGACAGGAGTGAGGGTAGGTGCGCTGATTGACATTAATCCGACAGAGCTGTGGAAAAAGGTTACGTGCATTCTAGACGGAGATAATGAGTTTGATTTAAGCACATTTTAATCTCTGAATGGTTGCGAAACAATATAAAAAGCATATAAATCTGCTTGGCATGCATAAAATGTGGTCTGTGCCAAAAGCAACATTTTTGCCTTTTTACCCTGAATTAGGCATTTATGAATGCGTTTTCCGATTTCACATTTAAGATTTATAAGACCTTCATGTGAATGTGAAATCTTACAACTGCCTCTGTAGTTTCACGTATTCGTAAGCGAGCAGTTTTGTATAATGTGCAGCTGTTGCCTACACAGTGGTGCATGTTTCCAAGTCTCGGTGGATGTATTCCTGCCGATGCACAGATGTGTCAGTGCACATTCCATAAACACATTAACACTGGTCTTTACAATCAGCTTCAGCTCTAGTCTGTGCGTGAAATATACTGGGAACATTATGAACATGCTTGGTAGTGAAAAGTAAAATGAAGATTTTTGTTAATTTGGTGAGGTGTAGGCTAGTTTTTTGTTTATGAAGTGCATATACGTGTAATAACTTCCCATTTGCAAATAAATGCATCCAGCACAGAAGATTAAAGGCCAAATATAGGAAATAACGTTAAATGTGTGTGTGGCATGTTCAAAAATTCTCTCAGGGGGATTTAGTTGGAGTATATGGCTGTCAGTATTCTACATTTCGACAGCCTGAATCACAGCAACAAAGAGAAAAAATGACAGCGGCTGCAAACTATAGTGAATTGATGTGTTATTGATCACTGACTATAGACCAACTGTGATTGTTCTCAGTGTGAGGGGGAATAAATACAAGAAATCTGTGAGTCTATGCACTATACAACATTTTTAGCTAATAAGATAATTATCTAATAGCAGTGGTGGCAGAACAAAGTATCCTCAAATTGCTCAAATAAGGCAGTACTTAGTGCGCTATTGCGTTTTCCAGGGTTTACGTGTTCCACGTAGTGCTTAGATGGTAATGATGAGGGTTATTGAAATGATGGCTGATATGGTAAGCTGAAAATTATTTTTATGTTATGGTGAATAACCATTAGCTGGCCGATAATAAAATTCTATATTTTTCTAAATGCATAAAAAATAAAACCAAAAAATAAAATCAGGTTTTTTTTAAAAGCTACATGAAGTGTGTGTAGGAATCACAACATTAATGATTTTGAGATTTGCTTTTTTAATGATTTTTAAGATTACATTTAACAGTGTTAAAGGGATACTCCTCTTTTTTGGAAATAGGCTTATTTTACAACTCCCCCAGAGTTAAACTGTTGAGTTTTACCGTTTTTGAATCCATTCAGCCGATCTCCGGTTCTGGCGGTACCACTTTTAGCATAGCTTAGCATACATCATTGAAGTGGACAAGACCATTAGCATTTCTCAAAAAAAAAAATGACCAAAGAGTTTCGATATTTTTCCTATTTAAAACTTGACTCTTCTGTAGTTACATCATGCACCAAGACCGACGGAAAATGTAAAGTTGCGATTTTCTAGGCTGATATGGCTAGGAACTATACTCTCATTCCTGCGTAATAATCAAGAAACTTCACTGCCGTACCATGAGTGCAGCAGGCGTAATGATATGACGCAGCGCCTGAAAATAGTCCCCAGCTCGGTAACTTCCAACGTGACCGGGACTAAGTGCCTGCGCCTGCTGCACTCATGGTACGGCAGTGAAGTTTCTTGATTACTACGCAGGAATGAGAGTATAGTTCCTAGCCATATCAGCCTAGAAAATCGCAACTTTACATTTTCCGTCGGTCTTACTGCACGATGTAACTACAGAAGAGTCAAGTTTTAAATAGGAAAAATATCGAAACACTTTGGTCTTTTTTTTGTGAGAAATGCTAATGGTCTTGTCCACTTCAATGATGTATGCTAAGCTATGCTAAAAGTGGTACCGCCAGAACCGGAGATCGGCTGAATGGATTCAAAAACGGTAAAACTCAACAGTTTAACTCTGGGGGAGTTGTAAAATGAACCTATTTCCAAAAAAAGTGGAGTATCCCTTTAAATTATTAGCATTTTTAAAGAGTAACTTGAAGTGAGCATTGTGACAGCAAAGGTGATCTAAATGTAAAAATCGGGGAAATATTTACATTTAAATATCGAATATTGACCAATAAATGAAACGATCTCTGATCTTAAACTATTTCTGCAGGTGGTTCGAGCGCGTTTGGAGGAGCGAGGCATCACGGTTCGAGATGTGAGGCTGAACGGCTCTGCTGCCAGTCACGTTCTGCACCAGGACACGGGGCTCGGATACAAGGACTTGGACCTGATTTTTGGTGTTTCACTGTCAGACGATCAGGCTTTCCGTGTGGTTAAGGATGTGGTTCTCGACAGCCTTCTGGACTTCCTACCCGAGGGTGTCAGCAAGGAAAGAATCTCACCACTTACTTTGAAGGAGGCCTATGTGCAGAAGTTGGTGAAGGTTTGCAATGACACCGACCGCTGGAGTCTCATTTCCCTCTCCAACAACACCGGCAAGAACGTCGAGCTTAAGTTTGTAGACTCTCTGAGGCGGCAATTTGAGTTCAGCGTGGACTCCTTCCACATAGTCTTGGACTCCCTTCTTCTGTTCGACCGTTGTTCAGAGACGCCCATGTCGGAGTGCTTCCATCCGACGGTGTTGGGCGAGAGCATGTACGGGGACTTTGAGGACGCTCTCGGCCATCTGTGCAACAAGGTCATCGCAACCCGAAACCCGGAGGAGATCCGGGGAGGTGGTCTCTTAAAATACTGCCACCTTCTGGTGCGAGGGTTTCGGCCGACCTCCGAATCGGAGATGAAATCGCTCCAGCGGTACATGTGCTCTCGGTTCTTCATTGACTTTCCAGACATAGGCGAGCAACAGCGAAAGCTCGAGGCGTACCTGCAGAATCACTTCGCCGGAATGGAGCACAAACGGTATGACTGTCTGGTCACGTTATACCACGTGGTCAATGAGAGTACGGTTTGCTTGATGGGACACGAACGACGGCAGACATTAAATCTTATCTCCATGCTCGCACTGAGGGTGCTGGCTGAACAGAACGCCATCCCCACGGTGACCAACGTCACGTGCTATTACCAGCCGGCACCCTACGTGCGAGACATCAACTTCAGTAACTACTACATCGCACACGTGCAGCCGCTGGTGCACACCTGCAGTAGTTCCTACCCAACGTGGTTGCCCTGCAACTGACCCCTGCAGAGGACATCTGATTAAAATCGACTTCAGCCCTTGTACCTTCCCATGTGGTGAAGACGAAATGCAAGTGAATATATACACTTTTTTTTTTCTTTTTTTTCTTTTTCAGACACACAAAAATGGACGTTTAAGAAGAGCTTTTACAAAACAATGGCCATTGTTTTTGTGTTAAATGTGACATATATATAGAATGACTGTTCACTGCTGTATGTCTAATTTGAGCCGATCCTTACGTTTTCTGTTCTGCAGAGTGAACGAAGATCTTTTTCACATGTAGCAGGGGGAAAAAAACTTTTTTTTCTTCTCTCAAACTCATTATAGATTCAGTTAAACTCTTGCAGGTTATGCAAGTGGGAAAAGGAGGCTGCGTTTTGCGTTATGAAGCTATATATGTTTTTATTTTATTATATTTTATTTTTGATGCCAGACTGTGGTTTCAATCAACCTCTGTTTTGCTTTTTGGTTTTTTAAAGGACCAAAGAAATTTTATTTTTGTCATGAAGAACGGAATGTTTGCTGTTGTAATTCCAAGTGCCTAAAAAACATTGTACAAAAAAGTGAGACCTGTTCTCTCGAAAACCATTTTTCAGTCTCCTTGTTAATTGTAAAACTCTATTTTCAGGGATGGAGGCATGTATTTCCATGTGATTAAAAAAGCACAAAACCCATCTTCATGTGTTCTAAACCTCTTTTGAAGTTGTAGTGGTCACATTTTGTAATTATTATAATTCAAGTGTATATTTATAGGCATATTTCAATTTGTGTTGGAAAATAATGTCAAATGGTAGGGATTTTCTATATCAACAGAGCAGAGGTGACAGTGGTCAGTGATGAAACTTGAAAGTCTATAGCACTGTTGTGGTCTGAATGTGTGCTGACTCTTAATCTGAGGAAATGGATCCATTGCAGTTCCAGAACATGAACCATAAGGATCCTTTCTAAAGCACAATGGCCTCTCTTTTAGTGTTACACTAAAGGTAACAGACAAAGGCTGTTTTGTTAATGCTGTCCCTGGCGATAGAATCCTATTTCTTTTCATAAAGCCATATCCATGTCATTGTTTTTGTAAACATCAAGGAGCTGGTATTGCGTTGTAAGCTAACTGATCAAAGGATGCGATGTTAAAAATGATTTCTACTGATTAGTAGAATAATATATACTGTAATTTACCATTGTGAATTGCTTTAGCTCAAAGTTTAATAGTTTAAATAGTCTTCGGCCCGGTTTCACATACAAGTTTAAGTAATTTAAGTAGCATTTATAAATGTGCCTTGGAAAAACATCAATTTTAGTCTGAGTCTTGTCTGTGAAACCTGGCATTAATCATTTAATTTTAAAGTTGTCACTGCATCAGGTTCATTCTTTTGCCAATATAAAGAGCTCTACATCAGTTTTCTTGCGGTTCAAGTAGTTAATCGTCAGGACTGGTAACTAGGTTCAGACAAGTTGGATGATCCATAAATTCTCCTTTCACCATTGTGCTCTTGAGTCTTTTTGTGCCATTGCCTTTTGGGAATGAATCAATAAATATAAACCAATTTTCTCTTCCGCACAACGTTTAGAAGTATACGAGAACGTGTATGTTTTGCTTTTATTTAGAACTCATCTGACTGATTTATATAAAAAGTATCCTTAAAAAACATCAACTTGTTTTCTGAGAATATGCTTTTTCATTAATTAAATAATTATGAAGTAGTAGAATTTAAGATTTTAATATTCTTATGACATTAAGGAGAATCACTTGCCAATGGGATAAACAAAAATGTCAATGTCAAACTTAAACTTTGAAAACAAGTATTATTGTACACAGTTTAGATTCTCAAGTAAATTTATGTTTTAAGAACATGCATAAATAATGGTGAAATGTACATTCTTTAGTGAACTAACCCTGTTAAGTGAAGGTGATATTTCATTGCAGTGTGTCAGGGAGAGACATTTTTGGCCCACACTATTCAAAAGGCATCAGGGGAGCACAGTCATAAAGCTGAAGTAGAATAACAGGGGAATAATACTCCAGTCTTATTCCCTCATGTTAGCTCTCACATTATAAGGATATAAATAAACCCGCCTAGTTAAATGACTAAGGAACCTTAAAGAAAAGCACATCCATTGGTAAACCATGTGTAATGTCCTGGCCCAGTGCAAACAGTGTCACTGGCGAAACACTGTGTCAGACAGTGCCTTAAAAAATTAGAATGAGGTAGTGCTATTTTAATTCAGTGGGTTGTGAAACAGACATTCAGGGATATATAAGGACATGCTCGAACATGTTGAGACACGTTTTGGACAAGAGGGGACAAGCTATGATGTCATTTATATCAGCTATTTTCTGTTATCTACACCATCCGTAAGAGAGTTTTTGTTACCCTTTTCCTCAAGTGTAACTGCAGATGAAACCAGTATTTGACATCAGAAAAACAAAACAAAAATAGAAAATGTTATAACAGAATTGTGTTCACAAAAGAACATAGAATGCAAAACAACCAGTAACTTAATACAGCAGCCTTCAAAATGAGGTCAACACCTCATGCGTACTTTCATGACAATATCATTTCATGGCACAAAAAGGTAATATAATATGTCATATATGATGTTATTACGAAAAACTTTGGCTACAAACATACAGCAATCACAAAAAGTTGTTTGGACACCAAGACAACGCTTAAAAGTAAAGAACGAAAACACTTTTCAAGCAATCACTACACTACAAAAGATTAAAACTTGTATTTAGCAAGAATCAGAAGTGACAGTAAAGACTTTCTTTTCATTAAAGAATCCTAATAAAGAATTATCACAGTTTCCACAAAAGTATTAAGCAGCACAACTGTTTTCAGCATTGATCATTTTAAGAAATATTTCTTGAGCAGCAAATTAGCATAGTAGAATGATTTCTGTAGGATCACGTGACACTGAAGACTGGAGTAATGACGCTGAAAATTCAGCTATGACTTCACAAGAATAAATTAAACTTTAAAATATATTCAAATACAACATAGTTATTTTAACTTGTGATAATATTTGACAATATTACTGTATTTTTGATGTGATAAATGCAGCCTTGCTGAGATAACAGATTTCATACATCCAATAAAAGTCACTTTTGACAGCAGTTATTTAAAATAAAATGTAAAATGCCGATTCGTTTGATATTTTGTGTCCAATGCAATAACATTGAAATATTTTGTGAGACTTGAATGTCCAAAAGTGTCCAAATACCTTTTGGGTCAACTGTAGGCCTACATTCTGCACAGCAAAATGTGTTTGCCTAAAAGTGTGTGGCTCATGTAAAAATGAAAAGCTTTAATGGAAAATGAATTGAATGTTTAATATTTTGGTAGGGCTGGGAAATATGTCTCCCCTGTCCATGCCAATAACATCTATGTGTGTGAGTCACACCTGTCTGTCTTGCTTCCCCTGGAACAACGACACTCCTTGTCTTCATCCTTGAATAACTCAAGGATCCTTGGTCAACCGGACGCAACACTGGGAAAGTGCAATATTCACTGTTTAGATAATTATGTTCATGGTATTCATAAACCTGACAGGCTGACATTTGGAAAGACCACAAATTAAGTTTGAATTTAATAAATGTGTTTATTCTGTTTCAGAGAACTCATCAATATACTCACCAAGGATAATATTCTTGATCTTGTGCAGACAGTAATCTCATGCCAAATTTAGGTCAATAAAAAACTAAACTGAGGGTTTTAATCATGTGTTACTAAAGAGATGACTCAGACTCACTCTCCATTAATGAGCCATTCAAATTAAAACGTCTGCAACATTCAAAGCAGTGCCTGAGATGGATGATTCTGATGGTGTGTAACACAATATAGCTGAATCAATCTCAATAAATGAGGATTTTAAATTACAACCTGTCTAAAACATCCTAAAAAGTGTCTGCAGCACACAATGCGGTTCCCAATTCATTTAAAAAGATCACACACCTTCAACACCAAACCATCAAAACAAGTTTTCCCTCAAGCACGACTGCCATTTTCGATATGGAGTATCTTGACATTAAATATTTGTTTCAAATCTAACACCATTGTTATAAACTACCATCACTGAAATAAGTATTATGGAGAAACAGCACGATGAAACCATAAATTCATGACTGGAATGCACGATATGTGCATTGAAGCCTCAGGGGGGAAAGAAAGTTATCACATGTTTCGTCATTCGAATCAGGGCAGAGAAAAGAATGGAAAAATGAACAGGGCGAGCCTCTTTTCAATAGGAAGAAACCAAATAAGACCTATTTTTGAAGGAATGCTAGAATGTTGTAACTTGAAGATGTGCAGACCACAAAAGGTAGGTCACTCATTATAATTATAATAATATAATTTTCTAGTGTTCCTTAAAGTTTCGAAGTATCTCATATTTTCTTTTTTCTTTCCTTTTTAATCGGTGTAATCTGATTTTCAAATGTCAGAAAAGTCTTGTTACATTTTTTGAGCAATGATCATATTTATTTTAGTGCCCTATTAGCATCAAATGCTATTTTCATGGCACAATTGAAGAAATAAAAGATAAATGTTTATATTACAATAAAACTACATATTTGATAATAATTTACAGAGTCACAGAATTAAAATCAGCACAGTAAAATATGCTTAATATTAATGGTTAATGATACAGTATTTGGCAACTAGGGCAATGCGGTCACATTACATTTCACGTTAACACTTTACAATAAGGTTCATTGGTTAACATTAGTTAACTACATTAGTTAACATGAACTAATAATGAACTGCACTTCTACTGCATTAATTAATCTTTGTTAATGTTAATTTCAGCATTTACTAATACATTATTAAAATCAAAAGTTGTATTTGTTAACGTTAGTCAATGCACTGTGAACTAACATGAACAAACAATGAACAACTGTAAATAACGTTAACAAAGATGAACAAATACATTAACAAATGTGTTGCTCATGGTTAGTTCATGTTAGTTAATGTTAACAAATGAAACCTTATTGTAAAGTGTTACCAATTTCACTATATAAGTAGATGTCGAATGTGTGTAGTTTTGATGTCCAAAGGAGGTCTGTGATCTGCATGTGTCTTTGATAATGTGTGGTCT